TGATTATACATAGAAGTTAGACTCCCAAAGAAAAGGGTTTCGCGAATCATCCTTTCCCCCATTCATCACTGGGCGTTAACTCAAGCGCTTTCGTATGATAGTCCAGACTTCTTGGGGGTCTTGGATCAAAATCAAGGTTGAACGGGCGTTCGCCGATCCGATTACAGCAAGAAGCATGCATGTCGTGATTGACCTTGAGAATTTAATCCAAAACTCATTATTTGGAGCAAGTTTGCTTGCGCAACTTTTCCAAAATTTTGCAAACTGATGCGGGGCTGCCAACTAAAAGGGTCACCTGTCTAAACATGCTCGACAGTGTAACAGTAAGCAGGAGACGCCGACATGCTAACGAAGAAGTGTATAGCGGGAAGCAAAAATTAGTGACTTACAGATTTTGGATAGGGTTATAAGCCGAGAGTTTTCCTTATTTAAGTTCCTTGGGAGTGTTTATGATCCAGTGTCAGTCATCATAATAAAAACAGAATAGACGCCAAGAAAATGATAAATTGGTGTGACATTTCTAGAATTGGCTCCGTGGACAGAGAGTTCATCAATACAGTCCTGATAGACTGATACTAATATTGAAAAACGCGTCGCAACCTACGACAATTACAGTGATAGAACGTATTTCGTTTACTTAGTAACGCCAATCTGATCTGCACACACCAGTTCGCATATAAATGCGTATGTGTACTAGTATGGGTAAAGAATCGAAATAATTTCCCGTTCATCGTCCTTCGGGGGAAAACAACGAATAGGAGAGGGGGATTTATAGAAAAAACTATACTCATACTTTTGTCCCTCAAAATATCAATTACGCCGTCAGTTCAGGGATCCGGATAACCCTGATCATTTCAACTTGTTCATTATTGTCATCTGATGATTGTTATGAACGTGCCCGAAAAAACGACCTTTGTGCTCTCCTTTGCTGCCAATCGATTCCGAATTCCCAGTACCGGAACACTGATCGGTGCGCATAACTTTAGTTTATGTTGCAGCCATCTGACTTGGGGCATTAGGCCTCCTCATATAATTGTTTAGACAAGACGCTCGTTAGTAAGCGCGAAAATTGATTGAAGCCTGGGCATCGGATGAAAACTCGGTCAATCGATTTATCGATCCGGCGCCGGCGTACAGAGCCCTGCGTAGTTACCTCCAGTCGTGTGCCGTCGGTCGATGATTGGGCCTACGTGCCTTATAACTGCCGCTTGCTCTGTTTCTGTCACTACCTCTGACGATGGACTCCTGTACGAGTCGGAAAGCTCAGGACAATAAACGAAGTGTTCCGGTGCTCGACTCTTCTTCACTTATACTTTTTTCTTCTGTGGCTTGTCCGTGAACATCTATTTCATGCTGGTTACATGCTCTCTGACTGACCTCACGTCGGCTGGTTGGTCTTCTCACTTTTGGAATGGCCAGCTTTTAGGTTGTGAACATTCTGCTCCAGTGCCCGGAGTTGACGATATCGCGTCTGTTATCTCATTAGTCTCTGGCTCACCGCCAAAATATTTGGATGACCACGACTCTCCATGTACCCTCGGCAAAATGTCATTGTTCTCCGGCAAACGCATTCAGGCGAGCTGAGCTTGACTAGCCTTGCAATTTTTGGTATTGGAATGCATTCCATTCCTAGTCCATTTCTGCTGTAGGTCCTGTCTAGACTGACTAAAATCTTCCGCGTTGCGACTACTAGGTAGAATGCAGGTCTACTGGTTTATAAGGACCAATTTTAAAACCCTCCTGGTCAAATTTTCAGGGCTTTTCAAAGACAACACAATATTCCTTCTGCTGTGCATGGCTATATGTAAAGGCACTTGAGCATCGCGGTCGATTGCAGACCAGAAATCGTGGAAGTCTGCAATCGTGAGGTTTTTTGTTTACCTAAAATATACGACATCGCCATTTCGCATTGCGGACTGCCAATAGAGCGCCACTTCTCCTGATAACGCTGACGGACTTGTGGGGCCATTTTTTTGCTGGCTGGTGTAAACATTGGTTTGTGTTTCACATCGATCTCAAAAGGTCTGAAGGTTTTTCTCATTGGTTCCGCACGTCAGAAGCCTGACTTTACTTCGTTCGGTGGTTCACAGATAGCATTTTTACATCACTTACATGTGAGAAACAGCAAAACTTGATGTTTGTATGCAATCCTTGCCCATTATAGATGCAACATTGTGCGGAAACCTATCGGAAGCTGACTATAATAAAGCATTATATGTGGCCGACGGACAAGCAGACTCTGCTGTAGCTAAGAAGTGTCTGACGCTAACCGAAGTCGCACGCGCTCGCCAGTGCCAAATGGCATGAAGGGTTCGGAGCCAGTTACGCCTCCTAATGTGGGCGGTAAATTTTGCGGAACATAAGCAAGAACACATATTTCTCTACGAAGACAGCCCCTGTCCCTGTTCTTTATCTTCTCAGACGGACGATGAAGTGGAAAGATGGAAAATCTTGATGTCTACTGCACTCGAGGATGATTTTCATAATACCTGCTATTCAAATGGCCTTATCAGAAAATACATGCAGTAAACACTGAAAGTTAAATTACGGGGAAGAGGCTTTGGCTTCGGCATATCATATGCGCCGCTCGCAATAATCGTTTCTCTCGTCCGCAATCCAGGCCGACCTTGTCTTCTTCTTCCATGAATTTATTATCAACATATTCAATAAAACACGTACTCCATTGAATGACTTGGTTTTCGGGTGTGATTCTGCTTACTTCCGGGAAATTTAGAAGGAAGAGGCTGGCCATCTGCTTAATTAAGCCAAAAAATACGTTTGTATTACTTTGTACGTTTCTTTGAATATCTCGTCTGATTTGGTTTGATATTTTAGCTTCAGTCATTAACGCTACAGAAATAAAGAGAATTCTTTTCAATATACTTTTCAAAAAGTCGATAGTTTCTTTTGTGTATTGAGGAGTCCTCGTGTTCCAGAGGCATGTAGGTTTCCCATTGTTCATTGTTACCAATATAATCAAAATTGACCTAGAACTCTGTATTTACCGCAATTATTCTTCAGATGCTCTGGGATCATAAAAACAAAGACCACTGTAGGTCAAGTGAGTGCACGCCACTTTTTGTTGAAAAAATTGCTCTAGTTTTGGTTTTTTTTAGCGAATTTTTGTTGCGTAGGAACCTCGTGTCTGATCTCTTTGGAAGAATGATTTCAGGAAGAATGATGTGAAAGCTGCCAAGTACCTTCGAAACTGCCCACATTCTCCGCACTATAGCAGAATCATCAGAAGACATGTTATTTGTGTGCACGTCTACGATTTGGCAGAAGACCTTAAATTATCGTGTTCCGAACCGGCAATTTGGCACATGCATTAAGTCACCATAGGCTGAATGTAGCTGCATTGCAATGAATCACTACTGCATATGGCATTCGAGACAAGCCATTACAGGACATTGTCCACAATTAGAACTGACTCGTTGCATGATGATTGCAGGTCGCAGTTAGCAATATTCATTATCCATAGGCCTTATAGGCGAATTGTATATGCCCGGCTCAGCATCGCCAAAGAAGACGAGGTTGAGGCAGCTTTATGTATCGCAATATATTTGCCCTGACATTTTGGACAGCTCGTCGTTTTCACTATCGGTGTGGTGAAAATTTTGTCTCGGCTGATCTGCACTGGTTTTGTTCCGTTTGTACCGTATTATAGTCATGCTTAACGCTAGAACTCTGGCCTACCTGCTACTTGGGGATTGGCTTCGACATCTCCGATAACGCCGACGGCGGCCCTGGGTGACCTCCTCATCCTGCACGGCTGTCGGAGATGCTGGATGACCGGTGTGCCCGCTGCCCCTTTTCTTCTAAGCGAATGGACTGATTAGCTGTTGCTGCCCGTACGAAACTTGTTAGAATGATTGGTTCCGTAGGTGAGCTTAAACAGCAAAAATAGTCCCTTTTGTAATCTACGGAACCATAAAGGATCAAGACCCGTAAGCCGGCAACGTTCTTGGTAAGACAACTGCCCGTGAAGCAGGGTTAGAACTATCTTTGTAAAAAAGTGTTGAACAGATTCTATTTTCTTCCAATCAGTAGCACGCATGAGGCTAAAAAACGAACAGTATTCCAGGCCAGGTCGAACGTACATGTTGAAAATGCGCATTCTAATGTCCCTAGTTTTAAAATTTCCGAGGATAAACCCGGTCGTTCTACGTGCTTTAGAGACTATCAGGGCACAGTGCTCCGAGAGATTGAGACTCTTGGAGTATGATAGGCCCAGATCCTTAATAATCAAAGGCACATTTAAGGCGTGACTTTCAATGCTTATTTGAGGTTGGCGGTCGTCGCCAACAACCATGACTGAGCACTTATGCTAAGAAGGAGAAACGCGCCATGTGCGGCACCACTGGGCAAAAGCCTGTAGGTCGCTCATTAGGAGCTCAAGCACGATGTCACGATCTGCCGGCTTATATCGATATGCGGCTTTCAGACCATCGGCATTCATGAAGGGCTTGCCATTCTGAAATAACTTTTGTATATCATTAACAAAAAGGCAAAATAAAAGCGGCTCGAGTACACTGACCTGAATGACTCCAGTCCTCACACATGTGGGGTTGGAGATAGTATTGGAAATCTTAACTCGTTGTGTACGAGCGCCCATGTAATAGGATATAAAATTCAAAAGTTTGCCACCTATTCTGAAAGAGGACAGTTTCGAGAGAAGAAGAGCATGGTCAACACGATCTAAAGCCTTAGTAAAATCAAAATTCACTGTGTAAAGTGCAAAACCATTGTCCCTAGATTGGAGAGCATGGTCAAAGAAAGAGAGCTGACAGGTGTCACAAGATCGAGCTTTGAGGAATCCATGCTGAGTTGCACTCAGTAGGTTATTCTCTGTTAAGTGACACATCATCTTATCCTTGATCAATGTCTCTAAAATCTTCGAAACTGTGGGGAGGGTGTTTATTGGCTGAAAGTCATCAAATGATGTAGATTTGCCGTGCTTAGGAATGGGCAGAATGTGTGATTCCTTCCACAAGGTAGGATAAGTTTCAGTTTCAAGAGCAAGATTAAATAGCTTGCATAAGAGCGATGGGAAGATCGTGTTTGCATCGGCTTTTAAAATGCTTACTGGGACACCATCAGGTCCTGCACTATAAGATTGAGGAAGACGCCGAATCGCAACAGTCACATCCCCCAGAATGAAATTTATAGTTTCTAGAACTGCCCCGGTCAATGCCTGGATGGTCGGAAGCGGATTAGTCGAGTCTTCAATAAACGTTTTGGACAAGAAAGCATTGAAGCTATCAGCGGTTAACTGGGCATCAACTATAGGATTTTCGAGAGAGTCTCATAGGGCAGGATGCTGCGTGTTTCTTTGAGTTCGTACTGTTCGAGAGAAAAGTTTGGGGATATTTGACGAACGGTTTTCAATGAATTGTACCTCTTCGGCCAGCTGTTTTTCTTTAGACAATCTTTTAGTCCGCTAAAATTATCGCAAATAACGGGCAGAACAGAAACTTTGTTCTGAAGATGGAAAAGACGATAAAGTCTGCGCAATCTGCGACGAAAGCGTAAGGGTAGCAAAACCTCATCCCCCACATTAATTATTTTCTTACGGAGGACAAAACGAGAAATAAGCGGATTCAAAATTTCGTACAGATTAGCAGTAAATCATTTACATGCGAACTAAGCATGAAATCACTCCAGTCGAAGGAATTAATAATTCGGTTTAGCGAGTTGACCGGCAGTCGCGGAAAAAGTTATACTTTGTGAACATAGTTTTGTCAGCCTCGAATTCCAACGTTGAAGCAAGTATGTCATGGTCTGAGCCCCCGAGTGGGCCAAGAGATGACAAAGACGAAGGTTTGCAGCGTGTACAGAAAATCAGGTCAAGAATGCTTGATCCTCGGGTGGGAAAATCGACAGCCTGATTCAACATCCCAACATCCACAGCCTCAAGAATGTCTTCGAACATTCTTGGGCCGGAAGGTGGAGACCAGCAGACTTCGGGGAAATTAAAGTCATCCGCATCCAATTGATACTTCAAGCTTAGGTAGGCCGCAGCATGAAATGCCTGTCAGAGTAAACGATCGAAATTGTCCTTGGCGCAGCCAACGAGTAGGGAAATCTTATTTTTTAGTGCAACCTGGAGCCAGCAGCTGCCTTCTACTGCGGAAAAATGCGGGAGGTCCAGCGGCAGAAATGTTAGAGTTTGCTTAACGTAGACGCAACTGTTTCATCACGGCTGTCTTGACGATCATTTCGGAGACAAGTACAGCCTAGAAGTAAGAGTTCGGTGTCAGCTGCGGAAGCTGATGCCCACGTCTCAGTTACTAAAACAATATCTGGACAATGGAAGAACAACAGAGTCTGAAGCAAAGGCATCTTATTAAGCAAGGATCTGACAGTAAGAACAAAAATTTTGAGGGAAAATGCTGTTTGTTTCTGAGGGAGGTGGGCTACGTCGTCCAGTGCTGGGATGCCCACAGAACACACGATCCGGATGTACCCATCCGGTTCTGTAAAAAATTTGTGGCATCGAAAAATTCTGACTTGGATAAAAAGGGGTAGGACATGGGGGAAGAAATGACGGGCAGGAAATCTGGTTACGATTGTTAGATAACTCATTTTCAGCTGGAAGTCCACGGGTCAGAATCTGCAACATATTCCCGCCGGAACGACACTGAGGATCGGATGAGTTAACTGATTCAGTATGGACATTAGCATGAGGACTGCACTGGTAAAACGGCCTCGGAGGAAACATATTAGGTGGTGGGGGACGCAGTGCATCCATTGGAGCAAGAGTTCTATTAAAATAATAGTAATTTTTTATTGAAGACCCGTCGGGGTCCCATCAAAGCAAGTTAAAATAAATTTACATGCGAATTTTAGACGAGATTGGCAGAATCTTTACAAAATGCAATTCATAATTTCTGAATTAGTAGTCCGTTGACAAAAATGACTAGCGAGGGGGGAAAAAACTCCATACACAAATTTAAAAAATTATTGTATTAATATTACAGAAGAAAAAAACCCTCAATAAAGAAAATATCAGAAAAATGCGGGCAGGACCGGCATGTATGAAGCAGTATATAAAGGATTATAATCGGACATCGTCGGAGCAGATATATATGTCAGCCTTGAGGGGTACGTATGCGGGTCAGACAGGACTGGCCTGCATGTGGTATTGTATACGGGATTCAGAACTGACATCGTCTGGGCCGGATTGATACGCCGGATAAAACTATGCGCGTCCAAGAGGCCAGACGAGAAGAAGTCAGACGCGATCGGCCACAGTACGCTTCGAATTTCGGAATGCCGGCATATCCGACCTAACCGCCTCGACATGAGGTCTTGGGTGCAGTTGGAAATAGGCTACGTTTTGAGTCGGGGTGTTTGAGGCACTGCTAGCCGATTGTGGAGGAAAAGATTTTATACTGGAGCTAGATTTACCCGGTCTCAGTGTGGCTGAGACGGTAGTTGGATGCGCCTTTGACTTAGGCACATGCTCAGGCTTGCTAGGGGTTGCTGGCGAAAAACGTGAAATCGTGGCTCCCACTATTGGATACGCTGAAAAGGAGCAGGAGTAGAACTCTATCATGTCGGTTTATAATCTAGTCGTATGTTGTCCGCGCGAGCTTTTAACTACAACAGCACATGTGATGGTGTACTGGTACGCATATAGGCAGGCTGCATGTCACGCCAACATCTGTGTCAAATTCGACAGCTACCTGGTTTGCGGGCTCCTATGGTTGATTTCTGCACAGAAAGGGGAAATTAGACTGGGGTCACCATTGGAGAATTCCGACCCATGGCGCATCAGCGTATTTTTCAATTTGTCAAATGCCACCCGCTTCGATCTACAACGGCGCGCTAAATGTCGTAGATTCAAAAACTGCCGACAGATTGGGTAATTAAATAATAGTCGGGACTGAGAGTAAGGCTTTGTGGTTACTTTAAAATTTGACCTCTGTGACGGCAGTTCAACCGTCGTAAACGCCGATG